CGATCCCACTGTTTCACTGAGAGGACGGAATTCCTCTCCACCTCTGGGTTCTTGATCTTGAACGCTGACTGAAGACACCTCAGCGAGGGCCCCCTGCGCCTGCCAGGTGTGTCTGTCTGCATCTGCTCCCGCCTCAGCACCTGCATTAACCCCACAGAGGTGATCTGGCCTCCTGCAGGAACAGGGCGTGACCACTCTGCCCTCTCACTGTCATCGACAGGTGCCCACCCTCAGCACCCAGAACACCCAAAGGAAGGAAGGAAGCATGTCTGAGGGGATGTGTGCACATCCTGTGGGGGTGTTAGGCATGCTGGGATTGATGGAAGTGTGGCGAAGAGGCGGGGGAACTTGTGCACACATTGGTCTGCGACTGTTGCATGCGTGCGAGGGTGACAGTGTGCTGGGGGATGTTCACAGGCAAGGTGGGGAGGAGAGGATGTGCACACCGGAGACCTGTGGCTTTGCAGATCTGCAAAACCCCATGGTGTGGCCAGAAGGACGTCAATCTGGCCTGCCACGGTGGCGGTGGCGGTCCCTGCGATCCTGCACCTTCTGGGCCAGGAGGTGAGACTTGCGCAGCCACTCCTGGGCACTGATAGCCTGCAGGCACTACTTCAGCTCGGCCTGCAGGCTTCACTTGTCGCGCTCAAGGCTTTCACCGCAGCCATGTGGGGAGTACAGGCTGCCCTCCTCTGGCCTGCATCCCCTGTCCAGAGGCTCTCTGTGAGCTGCTCACCTGCCCAGAGTGACTGGGGCTGGGTGGAAGCCAGGCATCCTGTCCTGCCCAAACCCGGCTGTTCTGCCCCTGTGCGTGCTGCCGTTCTGCCTCCCGGGTCATGGATCTGGCTCCCTGGGCCCATGGGCAGCCTTGCGCTGCCAGCCCCACCTCTCCGGGTCAGGGGTCTGGGTCCCCCTGGCAGCGTCATGCCGGCCCTGCCTTCAGTATGCAAATTAGCCACCATCTTTGTTGGTGGTTAATTTGCATATTGTGCTGATTCGCATAGCGAAGGTATGGTCAATTACCCTTTTTGTCTATTATTAGATAGGATAGAAGTCAACATGATCAACATCTGTCAGTATATGGAGAAAGGCTATGTGTTATTATTTCATCAAGAGATAAGAAGGGTTAGAAAGAATTTTGCACATTAAGCAAAATTATAGAAAATATGTTGGCAAATGAAATGCCAATATATTCAATCAATAATTAGCTCATGGCTTTTTATTTTTTTAATTTGAGAAGATGAATGTCCCTGGGAAGTTTTCTCCAATCCCAAAAATATTTTTTATGTGCTCCCTTTACCATGCTACCATCTGTGCCGTAACAGTGCTATGAAAACTTACGATATTTTCTTTCTAATACCCACTATTGTGTTATATTCTGTGGGAAAAAAAGACCACATTGTTCATTGTGAACCTGGCACAAACTGATCAATTATGTAAAAATTAAATAATTTTTTTTAAAATATATTTTATTGATTTTCTACAGAGAGGAAGGGAGAGAGATAGAGAGTTAGAAACATCGATGAGAGAGAAACATTGATCAGCTGCCTCCTGCACATCTCCTACTGGGGATGTGCCCGCAACCCAGGTACATGCCCTTGACCGGAATCGAACCTGGGACCTTTCAGTCCGCAGGCCGAAGCTCTGTCCACTGAGCCAAACCAGTTTCGGCAAAAATTAAATAATTTTAAGAGAAAAAATTGACTGTCATGCACATGGCTACTAAGGAATTTATTGATGTTCTTCTGTATCAGAACTTATTTTCCCCCAAAGAAGCAGAAAAACTAAAAATGCAATTGGAATTATAAGTTCTAGGAACAAAGATGGTACAAGTGATCCCTGGGATAAACTAAGTCATGTTTGACATTTGAAGGACACAACAAAAAGGACATTCATTGATTTCTTAAATCCCAATGCCTAATTCTTGGTG